ACCCCCACTGTGGCTGTCCTTGTGGCTCCGGGGGGGCTGACTGTGGTGCTGTCACCCCTGCCAGCTGCGGGGGGTAAAGGCCTGTGTTTTTGCCAGTTCTGTTGCATTTTCTGTATCAGCCCAGGCCAGGATTTGGCCATGGAACAGAAGGATAAGTGTGTCCATGGAGGTCAGCAGACGGTGTACTGGTTACATCACTGGACCCCCATATAGCTGGCCGGGTTCAACTCCCGGACTCAGTGGCTTCAAAGCCATGCTGGGGCGCATGTGCGTGCATGCCCAAGATCCTGGGAGGAGAATGGAGGAGGAGGGATTGCAGCGTGGCCATCTTCCCTGGGGTGAGTTCTCACTTTCCCTCTCACTGTCTCTGTCTCTCTCTCTGGCAAGTACATGCTCCCTAAGGAAAAAAACTCTGTAAAATAAAAAAAAGTGTGTCCGTGGGTTAACTTATACAGCAACTCTCTTCCTTTTCTTAAACTTCTGGGAGTAGGAAGTGTGAAATTATATTTACTACAATCATTTGAAATTCTGATGTCTGGTTTTTGTTTCAGAAGGAGTATATTGAATCTTTTATCTATTTTTTTTGGAGGTGTTTCATACAATGTACTTCAGAAAAAGTTTTTTTTCCCCTACTTTTTAAACTAATTGGCATTGCCATCGTGTGTCCCTGACTATAGACTACTGTGACTGTGAGTCTGGGACCTTTTCTTTAGGCATCCTGCCTTTACAGCCTGTTCTTGTCCATGAGGACTGTCAGTGTAATGCCGTGACCTGGAGACGTCTGTGTGGGGGCCACTGTCGTCACGCAGGACATCAAGTGGGCTCTGAGGGTGGGGCAGCGTCCGACGCGCTCCGCGGGCGGCAGCAGGGTCCTCGCGTGTGTTCGGCGCTGGCGTGTGAGCTGTAGGTCAGGAAGCAGGTGGACATGGCCCAGCCCGTCTGGGCCTCCATGCCCAGGATCTCACTCAGATGCACCTGTGGCTCCGTTACACTGATGGGCACAGTCCCGCTGAGAGACTGACAGAATTCCACTCCGCTCTGCTCTCTGGTTCTCCACAAATGGCCAGGGACTAGCCGTTCTGCTCTTCATAGTTATCCCGGAATTCAAGTGCATGTTTTTGTGCACAAAAACCCATAGAAATGATTCTTTGACAATAAAAACTTCTTACCTCAAGAGTTTAATGTGGTTCCGAATAACCAATTTCCACAAAAGTCTTCTATATCCAAAAGGGCTGGTAGGAAGAATCTTCAAAAAGTTCTTGGAAACTTATTATGAAGAAACTGTACATGAATTTCAATTTTTTAAACCAAAATAATTTCATTCTTCAGTTCCATTTTTCCATGAACTTTTTCAAGTCCCATCGTATTTAGAAAACGTGGCTCTTGTAGTACTTAACAGAGGAAGGCAATTCACTGCTTCCTTTCATAGAGACTGTTGTATTCCTTAATATCCTGGAATCCAAAGCTACCTTTTCATTACTCCAAATCAAATAGAGCCAAGTGTTTCCTCTCCAGGAAAGGAATGGGAAGTCCTATTATCCTGTAAATTCTTGTCCCCATTGTTACATAGTTTCAAGAGAAGAGGAAGCCTGTGTGACTACAAATAAGAGCTCCTTTCCCTCACTTCCCCAGTGTTTCTTCTGTGCGCTTTTCTAAGTGTTTCCCGTTAACTTCTCATTCTCAAAACTATGGAGAAGAAGCCACCATCATCTCGCTCTCCGGATAAGGAAGTTAAAAGTGAGGGCTTAAACAGCTACCCAGCTGTGACTCTGCTCTGAGCAGAGCTTAGATGGAACCAAGTCTCTTGGACCAAGAACAGATCTTAGTGGCCATTTAATGGATAGTTTTGGCTTCTGCTTGTCCATGTGCCTGTGTCATCACCTTCTGCGGTACAGAGCATGGTAGTGGGCCACCCGGTTCTAAACGGGCTCCTTAAAGTGATAGAAATTTAGAGAGAAAGGAATTGAAATACAGTGTTCTGGGACCAGCAGGTGGCATGGTGGTTAAGGCGCTCGACACTCCTACATGGCCTACCATGGTTCAAGTCCCGGACCTGGTGACTTGCTTTCTCACTTTCCCTCTCTCTCTCTGTGTCTCTCTCTGGTCAAATTAAAATAAATGAATGAATAAATAAAATTAAAGAAAAAAAATAATTATAAAAAAAGAAGAAAGAAAAGAAATGCAGTGTTCTGTTTCCCAAAGATGATCGAGTGCATGTTCTGACCAGGGCCAGGACACACAGTGACTTCCAGTCTTGCTTTGTTTTGTTTTCTTTTCTTTCTTTGAACATAGAACGTGTAAATCTTCATTTATTTTCTTCATGTGTTGCTGCTTTTTATTCTCATTAGTACCATTAGCGGCTGTCACTGACGAGAGATCCACCTGCTACCCGCTCACCTTTCGTTTGTAATTCTTCAGTTTACAACACTAGCGGACATCTGAGTGGTGCACCAACAGTCAGTCCCATGGAATTCCTCGGGGAGATGGCTTAGGGCAGTAGTTCATCTCAGCGAACCCTGCACCCTCTTTATGGCAAACCACTTCTTTCTTTCTTTCGTTTTAATTTGCTATGGGGTACATGTACTTCCTGGAGAGAGACAGAGAAGGAGTAGGGAGAAGGAAAGTGAGAAAGCGCCCCTCGGTGGAGGTCACACAGCAGTTCCTTCTCCATTCTTCTCTCAGGTTTGGGGCACACGTGCACACACACCTGGCATGTTTTCAACCTGCTGGGTCCAGAGTTGAAGCACATAGGTAGCCCTGTGGCTGCCTCGGCTGCCATGCCACCAGCTGGCCAACAGAGCACTCCTAAACTCCTTTCTTAGGGTTCTGAAATGGAAGCTGTAAGTGCCGTACCTACCCAATCCACGGTTTCTAAATATTGAATATACATTTTCAAATGTAACACAAAGGAGAAATAAAAAATAGTTTATGTACTTAAAATACACAGTGCGTATTTAAATGTGAATACTTGTGACAGCGCCATGAGGAGAAACGTGACAACTAGAAAGGATTAACCCCAGTTGGAAAACGTAGTCAAACCCACTTACAGTAACAGCAGAAATATGAGGTACTTAGGAACATATCTGAAAGAGGCATGGAAAATTCATACCCTGAAAAGTATGGAACATTGCTGAGAGAAATTAAAAACCCAAAGCAATGGAGAGAGGTCCCATGTTTATGGGTTGGAAAACGTTATATCATTCAGATGTTTCTTCCCAAATTGATCCCAGTCAGAATCCTAGCAAGCTGTTGTGTGGGATTTGACAAGCAGATTACACAGCTCATGTGGAAATGGAGGACCTAGAACAGAACAGCCGAGACAACTTGAGGAGGGACGGGGCTGGAGAACGGGCACACGCCAGCGTGCATTCGGCCCTGTTCTGTAAGGCAGGTGGCAGGTGTTTCATGAGTGGGAATGAATTCGAGCTGTGAGTAGCACTGGAGAGTGAGGAAGCCTAGCGCATGCCCGGTGGGAGCGCGTGTCGTGCCCACCTGACGGGGAGATGGAGCTACCAGTGGCCAGCTCGCTGGGACCGTGGGGATGGCATTTGGTGGGTGCCGACTGCATTTTCCTTCTGCTGATCCACTTCATTCTCCTAAGGAGCCTTGCTTTAGGTGCTGTCCCTACCGTGTTTAGATGAAGAAATGCAGACAGAGAAGCCAGGTTACAGCCCTCTGGCCACTCTGTCCTGTTGCCCATCCTGGGCCTTGTAGTGATAAATGGCTTGTGGGAGAGAAAATGGGAAGGGTGTTTCAGGTTGATTTTTACTTGCTTCTCATCAACTTTGGAAGAGTTTCTTAGTAAAATAGGGAGTCGAGTACAGCATGGGATGCGCCAACTAAACAAATACTGAAAGCATCATTTTGGAGGGCAGTATATAGGGGCTCTAAGAAACGCAAATTCCAGTCTTTCCCACAAAACTGATACTCTGTTAACGAGCCTTCTCAACTCGTAACTGACAGTATCTTCGGAATGCTAAGAACTGCTATAGAATATTGATCAGAAATCGAAATAAACAGGAGTCTGTCAAAAGATCCTGCACAGAGGGAAATTATACAGCTCAGAACTGCACGATGAGTCAGGCTCTTGGAAGACAGTCCCGTTCTTCCCCAGAGTCTGTCAACAGAGGGCCAGGGACAGCGATGTGTTCATGTTCCGACGCGAACAGCTGCTTCATGGCGGCCCATTTATGTTCCCATCCGAGGAAACAGCCATAAATATTGGTAAAGATTTCCTTTTTCCTTTTGTTTCCAGCCTGTTTATCTCTGTGTCTACTCTCTGTGTGATCGGGACACTCAGCATTTTCCTAATGCAGCTTGCTAGAGCTCTCCCTAAAGCCTCGAGCAGTTCTGCCTCACAGCAGTGTTGGGTGTGTGGGGCGCGCCCCGGGCCGGGGTCCGTCCCCACTGCCGATATTGGCAGTCCGCGTCTCGCGCGCTCCCTCCCGTCTGTGACCCGTTCTTTAACATCGTGAATAACAGGATTTTAAACAAGCCATCATTTCAGAAATTTATGTCAGGCATGTGTTTCTTTTTTTTATGAAATCTGTGGGAGAGTGAAGAAAAAATTCACAAAAAAACATTGAATCATGGCTTAGGTTGATTTCAAAGAGTCCAAGGGGCCAGTAAGCGTAAGAAGTTGGCAACCGATGTCAACACGAGGAAACGGAGAGGTCAGCAAAGTGAATTACTAAGCAGGGAAAATCTCACCTGCTGTGTGCAGTGCTCATTGTCAGGCTAAATCGTGGCGTAAAGAAAGTCTGGGAAATTAGAAACTAAAGCTAAAACAGCTGACTTAGCTGTATTTGGACAAATAAAACCTAGAACTCATAGCAACAGATTGTTTTGGTATTTGTTTGCGTAATTGGCATCATCCGTCATTTAGTCTTGGAATAGGAGGGTCACTTGGGAGGCCTGCGGAGTCTGTTACTGGAACGGAGCTGGCAGTGGTCATTGGCCCATTTGCTGGGTTAGAACCCTCTCTTTGTTCTTTTCTTCAGGTGGGACTCTTCCCTGGACACTGTGTTGAGTTAATTAACCAAAAAGTTCCCCAGTCCGTGACCAACTCAGTGCCCAAGCCAGGTGAGTACCCTTTTTCCTAAGCGTCATTAGTTTGTCAGCTGCGCAAGGTACAGATCTTCTCTTCTGGTCAACTGCATCACTCGTATTGCAGCTCTCTGCATTTATTTATACAATATACATTCTGAATTTTATATTACTTCTTATCTTAAATGTATTCTGATTTCTCTGTTGTTCATTTCACAAAGGTTGACATGTATTCACATTTTAGACAATGGTAAAGGAATATGTGTTCCACTGAGTTTTGTCGTTATTCACTTTTACAGTTATGTAGTATAGCTTATTAACAAAAACAATGATAGCAAAATACGATCGGTTTAAACAGCTAACACGGAGATGCAGGATGAACTGGAACTCAATGAGGAGTGCTTACTTTACATTGCCTGTGAGCGTGGAAACTGTTAAACAACATCTCTTAGTATGTAGCATATTTACATGCTATATAAATATGTAGAATATTTTACAAATAAGTAAAACAGTGTTGTGGGGATAAGAAAAGTGAAATGTTAATTAATTTTAAAATGGAAATTTTTGTGCTTATTGGAGTGATTTAATTTGGGTGGGAGTTTACAGAAAACTAGTTTGAAACTTTTAAAATATAATGTGTATTTTAAAAATGAAAATAAAAACAAATCTTAAACATTTTGGGGGGAGGAGGGAGTAATCACTTTTTTTGTTGTTTTTATGCCTTTTCTTCCCTCCCAATAAAAGGAGAAGAAAAAAATTTTGAGCTTCAGAATTTATTTGAACTGTTTCCTTAGAGTATCTTGTAGGTTTAGGACCTGTGTGTTGAAGTTAGGGAAAAATAAGTTCATTGTGATTTCATATTGTCCCACTTTCGCTCCCAAAACATGTATTACACAGTCTTTGCCTATAGAACTTAGGTGAAGAGGTGGGTGGCAACCCCTTCCCAAGCTGATTTCTTCATGGCAGGTCAGAGTCATGGTGCCGGTTTCTCCCACAGCAGTTGGTTTATTTTACATGTGCCAACTTGCTTGCTCGGTAGAGAAATTGCTCCTAAACAGTGTTCTCTGAAGTTTCCCTTGAGCCAAGATTTTCAGTTCTTTTCAAGGCCATTTTGTCCCTCTTTGTATAAACTATTAAAAAGAATCTCAGTGAGTATTTTCTTGGTAAACGTTGGCTAGCTATTGTGATAACTGTAGGTTTCTTTTTTAAGACGATGGAGTCAGTTGCTTATAAAAAACAGCCTTATTGAGATAAAATTCACATACCATATAATCCACCCTTCTAAAGTGTGTAGTTCAGTGGTTTTAAGTACATTCCCAGAGTTGTACAGCCATTGTCACAGTGAACCTTAGAACATGCCCATCACCCCGAAGAGAGTTGTGTACCTGTTAAGCGGACTGCTCTGCCCCAGCTCTAATAACCACTAATCTGTTGGGTGGTCGGAAAAGTCGTAACACGTTTTTCTATAGAAAGTTCCACGTCATGACTTTTCCGACGACCCAGTACTCTGTGGCTCTATAGATTTTTCTATTCCGGACATTTTATATGATAGAATTCTATAATATGTGGTCTTTTGTAACTGACTTCTTTTACCGTTTTCAGAGTTTACCTATGCTATAGCATGTATCAGCACTTCATTCTTTTTTTAAAAAATGGCTGAGTAATATTCTGTTGTATGCACTATAATAATATTCTGTTGTATATACTGTATTTTATTTTTCCATTCATTTGGGGTTATTTCTACCTTCGGGTGCTACACATACAAGCTTTCTTGAGGATATATGTTTTCATCTCTCTTGAGTCTATATCTAGGAGTGAACTTGTTGGGTCATATGGTAAGTTTAACGTGTTCAGGACCTGACAGCTGCACCATTTTACAATCCCATCAGCAATGTATGAGACTTCTGGTCGCTCCATATCCTTGCCAATACTTGTTATTATTTGCACTTTTAAAAATTATTATTGACATCTTAGTAGGTATAAAGTGGTATCTCATGGTTTTTGATTTGCATTTCCCTGATGGTTAATAACGTTGAATATCTTTCTATGTGTGTATTTGCCATTATAATCTTCTTTGGAGAAAAGTCTGTTCATACGTTTTGCCTGTTTTTAATCAAGCTGCTTTTCTTTTTGCTTTTGAATTGTACGTGTTTCTTATATATTCTAGATACGAGTCCTTTATCAGATAATGATTTGCAAATATTTTCTTCCATTTTGTGGTTGTCTTGCATTTCTCGATGGTATCTGTTGAAACCTAAAGCCCAGTTTATTTTTTCTTTTGTTGCTCATGTTTTTGATATCTTATTTAAGAAAGTCTTGACTACCTTGAGATCATGAAGATTTGCTCCTGTGTTTTCTTCTGAAACTTCTATCATTTTTAGATCTCAAATGTTAGTAATTGATTTATATTTTTGAATTAGTTTAGTGTATGCTGTGAGGCAGGATCCAACTTTATGTGGATATTCAGTTTCCCAGCACTGTTTGTTAACTAGGTTATTCCTTATCCATTGGCTTGTATTGGAACCTTTACAGAAAATCTTTGTGGGCCAGCCTGTGGCTTGGTGGTTGAGGCAGCTAGATATCTTATGGCTGAATGTGCAGTTCAAGTCCCAGACCTGGTGGCTTGAAAAACACCGAGTGCATGTGTGTTTGTGCTCAGACGCCTGAGAAGATGCAGAAAATGGAGAAGGACCACGGTGTGGCCGTGCCCCAGGAGGGGTGTTTTCTCCCAATCTCTCTCTCTCTCTGTCTCTCTCTCTCTCTCTCTGGCAAGGACATGTGCCCCTGGCAAAATTAAAACTACTAATAATAATAATATGTAAGAAATAACTGTACATTTTTATGTCAGATTTTAGTAGCTTCAAAATATTGACCATAAAACCCACAATCATCTCAACAGATGGATTAAAAGTGTTTGTAGGGGGAAAAAACCTGACAACCTACTGTGTAATAGTACTCAACAGAATAAAAATAGAAGAGTGCTTCTTTAACACCTGCACATGCGCCCACCATGTTTTCAAGCCACTGGGTCCAGGACTCAGACCACAGGGTCAGCCACTTGGGATGCTGCTGCCTTAACCACCATGTCACCACTGACCCGTTAATGCATTATTTTTATTCATATTTCTATGATGTAAACTTAACTTTTCTTAGACATTAACTCTCACCTTTAATAATTTCAACTCAGAGGTGTACTATAAACAGTTTTAAAAACTTAGTTCAATACTGTCATTAAAATAAACTGTGTAAATCAAATACCTTCTCATGTTTTCACTGGTGAAGTATTTCTAGTACTGATAACCTCCAGAATCCTTTCATATTGGGAAAGTTAATCAGTTATTGGAAGTTCCGGAAAATCCCTTTGTATTCATAGACCTATATGGCTTTTTTTTTCTTCCTATATTCGATTCCGTTGACACACAAGGTTTGTGTACTTATTTATTTGTCAGATGGCACGTGTGCTTGCCAGAGAGGGCAGAGCATGGGAAAGGGAGAAAGCTCCCCACAGTGGGTACGGTTATTTATTTATTTAATCGCTAGAGGAGGTGTACATTTACCAGAGCGAGAGAGAGACAGAAAGCAAAAGCACTCTCCAATGGTGTGCACACAGCTCTCCTCGGGACTCGATTCCCGTGCCATTTCTGCATCTCATCAGGATTTGGGCATGTATCATGCCAGCTCTTCTCAAGCTGCTGGAGCCATGACTTGAACCATGCCTGGTCATGTGGGCTCCGGCTTTCTACACACAGTGCTTCGCCACTGCGCTGTTGGGCCAGCCCTGGCATCAGTAACTCTAAACCAGCGATAACGTGAAAAGCAAGCACATACTTAAAAGCTAATATTTTCTCTTCTGTGAGCAGCATTGCGGAACTGGCATGGGAGAATGCTCATTCTTAGTACATTTGAAAAGGATGATGTGAATTCTATCAGCCTCGGGCTTGTTTCACACTTTAAAACTGTCTTTGCCCACAGTATAAACAACTTGAATGTTCTATTTATTTTTAACATCGCCATCTGTCACAGTTAGAAGTTAAATCTAAAGATGCCGCTATAGTTTGAGACTGAAAATTTAAAGCTTCCTATACTATTACACAACAAGGATAATCGGAAGATTTTTCCTTTTGAAGCTGTTCTTAGTGTTCTCAATATGTTCAACTATTTGTGCATACAAAAATAGAATTAATGAATCACTGTGCCCTGACCAAGATAGCAAGTACCCATGGTGCCTCAGGAAAAAGAAGGTGAGAGTCTGAAAGAGGAAAAAAGGAAAGGAGGGAGGAGGAGGGGAGGTGGAAGCGCGTGCACAGGAGATGGACGCCATTCAGTCCCCGCTGGGCACGGCATGCTGGGAGGGGCGGTGGGGAAGCGCG